AGTCAAAACGTAGGTTATAAAATGAAATAGTTAGTATAAATAATGTATTTGGCAGTAAGGAATTAATAATGCATCATTAAGATCAGGGTAGCACTAGGCAATTGCCTGAGGGCATTGTACATAATGAGGAGTCACAAAAAAGTCAACTATACCTCAAGGTCATAAATCAGAAGCTAAGTAGCATAAAATTTATAAACCCAGTAAAATCAGCTTCACCTAGTCTCAATTTAAAAATGTTTATAAGGCATATAGGATTGACAATATCTGTAATCTAAAAGAGATTCTACAACATTAGACTATCGATAAAGAGCCAAATTCTGGCCTCATGAATACCACAGGAACTCAGTGCATCACGTTAAATTTTAATTGGCTGTTCCAAGAAAAAAGTGCACCCCGGTAATAGTAAAGGACCGCACAAAGGGCCAACTTCTCACTTTGAGCCTCGAGATTTACTTTGAGCCAACTTTTTTCCTCTGCCTGATTGCTGTACAGTAGCAGGAGTAGCAGGGGCTCCTCCTTGCTGAGGAGGAGTAGGCCATGGCCAATGCTCTTACTCCAATGTCATCATCACTGCTGTGTTGTTGGTGTTTGGAACCCGCTTTGTAACTGCTGTGGGAACCTGTCTGTGTCTGCACAAGCAGATGTGTTTGTTCCCTTTCACAAAGTTTGGGGTATTTTTTATGTTAAATCTTGCAGCAGACAACAAAGCAACTTTTGTCACTGTAAAAAGCATTGCTTCCTTATTTGTATGCCATAGCATATTGTTGTTTAGCATTCAGCTTTGGATTCCTAATATTTTAGAGAAGTATTTCCAAATAAACAAAAACAAAGAGAGACTGGTGGTAGTTTTAAGCTGATTGAGTATCTTTCAGTGTTGAAACATGTTTGATACAGGCACAGAAAGATCCATTAATGCCTATTTATGGTCTATTTTTAGAGTAATGCCAAGCAATTACTATTCCTATGACTCAAGCACCCAGGCTGAATTCTAGCCAGGCAATACAAGATTTTTGTAGTGCCAGGAGACTCTTCAGCAGATTTGGAGCAAAATACGAATCAGCAGTTAGCATGATAAAGCCAAACTAACAGTTTCTGGAGCTCTTGATAACTTAGGAAACATTCACACTGGAAAATCAGACAGAAACCAGCACCTTGGTGCAACACTGCTGGCTTTGTGAGGTCTGGAGCTTCGTGCAGTTAGGGTGCTGGGAAAGGCTGGAAATGAACTCACAAGTCTACATTCCATTTTTTTACTTTCAGCAATAAGGTATTTGAAAGATACTGTTGTGAGGTTTCCTGCAGAGAAATGAGGCAAAGAGAGATGGACAGATACATGTGGTGGCAAACACTCTAAGAAGTGAATCCATGTTCACAAAAATCCCTTGCCTTCACACACTCAGGACCTTTCTTTCCTTTCTTCCCATTTGGTCTTTAAACAAGCCAAAGACTTGTTTTCTTTCTTTCTTTCCTCAGTTGTGCTGCTCCTGATACTCCTTTTCCCCTCAATGTCAAGTTTTTGTTTCCATCCTTTTCCTGTTTCAGGATGCTGCTGGGAATAGTGCTGCAGCACAGGTCTGGGCAAGGCAGCTGCAGACACTCAGTACCTTTTGCCAGATAAGCCCTTCAGCATCATACACGTGTGTTGCCCCAGAGTAATTTCAGACTGTTTAATCATTTCTGCAGGGCAGTGGGGGAGTGATTTTGTGTCTGAATGATGGCAGTGAATACCAGGATACCTGAGCTAGCCACAGGGGAATGGCAGATTAAGACAGAGGGTGCACGGGAGAACCCGTATCCTTTTGGAGCCACAGGAGAGGCCAGGCAAGATACCTGAGGGTGCCTAAATGGCACCTCTGCTTAGACACTTTGGAAGTTGTAGGTTAACCACCTCACAAGGGAGAGAAGTCTTCAGTACAGTGAAAGAATTATGCCCTGCAGTCAAGACTAATACTTCATAAAAATCATTTTAGGCTAAGAAAGCAAAAAGGAAGCAGGCAAGGAAACTAATAACCCCGCTTTCATAAAGCATTTATTTTTTTTATTTGAAAACATTATACAGGCATTACATTGCCACAGCCAGTCCATATAGGTGCATGCAAATATCAAAATGGAGAAAGGTTTGTTCAGCTTTTCAATGCAGGATATGGGGTTGGGATTTTGTTTGCTTGGTTTTGGTTTTGGTTCATATTTTCATCTCTGTTGTCAAGATTAGTGTGCTTTATTATGGCATTTAACAATAAAATCCTACCCATGGGGTAAAATTTGTATTTGTAGCTAGCTCAGGAATACTAGATGGTTTTTTAAAAAATGAAAGAAAATGATACTACACGCTTGTCAAAATGTTAATAGCACAAGTTAGCAATCTCTACACTATACACTGAAACGTCTTCTTATGACACAGTGGTGCAAAATTTTCAATTGCTTGGTCTATCCTTGTGTGTTTTGAAACTTGATAGCTGGAACAAAGACAAGGTCTGTCTCCCAGTGAAGGTTTTAATCCAGTAGCAGAAAATTACATCAGTCTTGCTAAGGGCTGCTCAGAGTCAGCAGTGTAACAGAGTTTTAGTTTGTTCAGGTATGGAGCTACACAGAGCCAGAGATGTCCTCAGAGAGTAGCTGCCGGTGAGAGCTGAACCTTTGCTGGTGCGTGCTGAGGTCTCCAGCTGCAGAAAACAAGCTGGTAAAAGTTATCCTTTCCTTTACTAGACCTCAGTTTTTCAGTCAACACAGTCACTTGTAAAGCTAAACTACTGGTTTCCTTTAAGGTCCATCCAGCACCAGCACACTGGTGCTCATCCAAGTATCCACCTGGTCTAACGGGAGACGCTGACGGTGAAGCATCCCCCGCACTTTGCACATCAAACTCCTCCTGTGTGACCAACACAGGGGATGGTGGCTGGGCACAGAGGACATGCTGAAACATTCATAACACCAGACGCTGACGGTGAAGCATCCCCCGCACTTTACACATCAAACTCCTCCTGTGTGACCAACACGGGATGGTGGCTGGGCACAGAGGACATGCCGAAACATTCATAACACACATCTGTGCAATGGAGCCTTTTAAAATAGCCTATAATAAGTGCTTCAGATGGCACCTTTCAGCCACCCGTGGATCGCAACCTTTGTATGTAGAAACTCCCAGGTCAGTGACCTGGCCAGGAGGAGCCTCCAGCTCAGCTGTTTCTGAGAAGACTGCAACAAATATCTACAAGTTAGTGTCAGAAAAATGAGGAGGGGGAGGTGGACTACAAACATTTGGCTTAAAAATAAATACTATTAATGAAATTAACCAAAAACAATTATGCAAAGGCAGTAATTGTAAACATGAAACAAACACACGCACACAGTCCTTGAGGTTCTCAGACCAACATGGGGACTAATGTTCAGAGAAAGGTATTTAATCAGTATAAAAGGTAGCAAAAAAGACTGAGATGACAGGTGCCCACCAGTGTGCCTCTGGGTACCCAAAGGAGCCATGGTGGCTGTGGCCAGAGCCCTGGCTCCTGAGGAATGTATGAAGCCCATCTCAACTCAAAGCTCTCCCAGGGCTTCACATGCAGATGCCTGCTGGACACTGTGCATGAGGGCTTCACCTAACCATGCGCAGGAACTTCAACCCCACAGACCTTACCCTGAAGTATCAGGTAATCTTTCTTGTGTAGTTTTGAATTTTTTTTCCTTTGAATCCTGTAAGATTTAGACTTTCCTTAATATCCCCAGAATATGGGCTCCATTTCCCTGTGGGAATCTTTTGTTTTTTGAAATCCTCAATGGTTTAAGAGAAAAAGCTTGGAAAGATGAATGCTAAAAAGATTAAATAAAACTGAAGGCAGGGGAAAAAAATAATTATACAAATAGTTATGAGTTTGAAATCAAACCATTTTAACTGAATTTTATGCCAGTTTTGGGCAGGGTTTGGCAATACTGCAGACCCTTCCCTCAGCTGCAGCAGGACCCTGGCAGGCAGCTTAAACACAGTGGGACAGAAATCACCTCTTCTCCTCCTCCACAGCAACAATAAGATACATCATCCTTCTGCTGTTCATTAGTATTTTGACTTTTGCCACTTCATATATATTATGCATACCTACTTCTCCCAGTCTGCTTCAGGAAAGTCCCTGCTATATTAAAGCAGGATAGATGAATGTTACCTCAGCAGAAATCCATCCCGCTTGGTTGAACTGTGTGGCCTTTCTAATCTCCACAGTATAGATTGATTTATTTTTTTTTCTTTTAAAAATATAAATGGTAAGTTGTATTCTTCAAACATGAAGCCTACATTTTGCTTGAGACAGAATTCTTCAGCGGAATAACATTCAAATCAAATTAATCTTCAATGCCCACAGGCAAAAAATTCACCAACTCTGACATAAACTCCATTTTCAAATACAATGAATGTATGCACACTTTTACAGTATTACTATGTACTTCTTAAACTCCTTCCTTTTGAAGATCCTGAAGCATTTTAAAATAACTTGGTCCCGCAGCACCCCTGTGAGGTAGGTAAAATATCATGATTCCTGTATATACAGTTAGGGAAACTCAAGTCACACAGAAGGCAAGTCATGCCCCAGGACCACACAGAGATGTGCCAGATCTGTGAATAAAACTAAGCTCTCCTGGATCCCTACCCTATCTATGTAAGATCATCTCTCCTTCCTTAATTTTAAATTAAAAATGGATGATGGATGTTGAAATAATGATTTCCTTTTATTGGGCTCTCAAAAGAGCAAATGTACAGGCAAAGATGGATTTTTCATGATGGTGACTAAGATTTCCTCCATTCTGATAAGGCTTCTGGAGCAGAAGTTGTGGAGCACACCCTTACTATTTTCCTATGTCCCCAGGAATGCAAGAAAACTGCTGACTTTTTCTGCTAGTTCTGTAGTTAATGAAAAATAATTGGCTGCACCCTGCCAGTATGAATGCCTTAGCACTACTGCAGCAACTCCAGCAGATGGTCCAGTCTTTCTGCTCATGAATTCCTTGCTTAATCTTCCTGATTTTTACTGTTTGTGGGGTTTTGTGAAAAACTGATATGTTTCTAAATAGCTATTGTTAAAATAATGAACCACAGGAGACTAAGCAAACTGGAACAGCAGAAGGTGCCCTCAACACACTGAGCATCTAAAATAACTGTCCTGATTCATGTGACATGTCATCTTACCATGGAGAGGTATAATACATAAGAAACTAGAAAACATGTTTTTCTTTTTACAGATTAAAATTTAAAAAGTAAGAAATCTGTGTTGTCACAACTACAGAGAAACTAACCCCCTGTCACCTGATGCAGAACCTCAGCTGCTAGGAAATCTGCCATGGATCATAGAGAGGTCGATGTTTGAGTTCTTCATTTCTGCAAATATAGAAAGGCTAAAACACTCGCCTTATACCTATTCCTAGAATAGAGACAGATATTGTAAGTTGTCCCTTCTCTGGATTCATGGAACAGATTACCTAGAAAGGGCAACTAGACAGACAGCAAAAATGAATCCATTGTCTTTCTCTCACCAAATCCCAAGGTACTAGCAAAAATGTGTCAGGGTGTTGCCACCACGAGTAACCCATCTATTTTTTGCAATCAAACAAATCTTAGAGAAAAATTAACAGTGACTGCACAAGTGTGTTTATTGTAAAAAGGCAGTTTTTCCACAACTGATGTGGCTTAGGTGTAATCTCTCTCAGTGGGTGCAAACACACCCTTTGATGAACTTATTTTTGTAATTCCACCTTATATATTGAATACCTTCTACAGGTAGTTTGACATTAACTGATTCATAGACAGCAGTTTGTGTTGCAAACGTGCTGCTTGTATTGTAAACGAGGGACTGGCATCTCCTTGCAATGAACACCCTGGAACAATTAATTGGTATTTTTACGAGCTTTCCTTATTTGCTACCTTGCATCTCACCGGTGTAACTGCACCTGGTAAATACCTTTCTCTATGTACAATACAGACATAATGGATATACGAGCTCCACTGAATCATCAGCAGGTGATCAACAGCCCCGGGCTTAAGCAACTCTAACGTGAGGCTCCTCTTCTGTCTCCTGCCCCAGGCTGGTGTATGTTACCGAAGGCTCCAGCTGGCCAGTGGCTGGCAGGTCTACAACAGGTCCTGACGGGTTTCGAAACTGCTTGTACACCCGAGGATCCTGGGCTACGTAGGTGGACGTGGAAGAGTAGAGCACCAGCCCAACAAGGATAGTGAAGAACGACAACAAGTAAAGTCCTGAAAACTAAGCAGAAATAGGAGTAGAGTCATTAGACACAGCACCAGTTATTCTGAGCTCATGAAGACCCACCCACAGACAGGGGTACTAGGCATAGTGCATTTGAAAGGTGCATTTGGCATGCACCACACAGAACAAACCTCTTATCCCTGGGATGTCAACTCTTAATGGTAATGTCTCTTTGAAAGTTTATTTGCTCCCACAAAGTCTGCTGTCTTCCATAACCAACAGCTAACTGGTGCCTTCCCATGGCTCAGTCATACTTAATATTGACCAGGTGGGACTTGGGAAAGCTGGGCTCTGGTCAAAGATACAAAGATGCTTTTGTTGTGCTTTTAGACAAGCCAAGCACTTTTCTGAGTCCAAGTTTCTCTAGCTCCAGTGTGGAGTACTATCATGTACAGTTGTCTGACAGGCAGTGGATAAATCTGGAGTAAATTACAGCTAAACCATGTCCGGGAGGTATAACATGCTGTTGGTAATATAAAAATATAAATAAATAAGCATTTAAATAAGCATTTAGAACACATAAACTTTTAAAATATGTATTTTAATAAAGGGATTAAAAAAGCCCACCTACAGCTTCTCTTGCTTGTATAGAGAAGGCAGATACTAGACCTGAGTTTGGATGGGATGAACTTTAGCTGTGAAACACACTCTGGGCTGACCTCAAGAGGTTTGAAAGTATGTATGGAGGGCAGCTAACAGAAGGCTCAAGAACACATCTTTTGGCACACTGCTCCACTAGATCAGGGGTCAGCCTGAATTTTCTGACGTATCCAGACTCGGTGCGCCTGGACTAAAAATACAACAGAAATAACCTTTTTGGCAATATCTTAGTCACTGCAGATAAAGGTAAAGGTTTCAAAGTCAGACCATTGGATGTTAGCTTTAGATACTGGGTTCCTGCAATAAGGTACACAAAAATGTCTTTAAGCCCATACAACTTGTCTCCCAATCCTAGACTACAAGTTATCTCTTCTTGCATGCTGTGTGTGAGAAGCCATGAGGGACAAACTGCATCACCAGCTTGTTGGTGAGGATATAGAACTGATTTGTATTTAATGGGACTTTAAAACATGCCTGTATTCTGCAACTGTCAGGGATCCGTACTTGAACACCAACCAGCTGCAACCTGTTACTAGCTGCTTCACGAGGTACTTGACTGTTTTGCATAAATGTGTCTGCAGGTCTGTTTTTTAATCCTGACTATGCCAGTTTGTTTCCTCCAGATAACTTTAGCACAGCACAAAATGGAGAGACTGGACTATATTATCTTGGAAGCTTTTTAGTGTTCTGCGTTTTATTTTTAAAGAACTAATCATGGTGGAGAAAGCAACATTTAATTAAACTAATTTTGTAGCGATGCTAATTTGTTGCCATTTAATAAACCTACAAAATCTGCATCCAATTCGTGCTTGAGGAAGCATTTCACTTTTTTTACAGAATCCACAGTATCTTTGAGAGCTTTGGACATGTAACCCACAGTGATATATCTGTATGTGTTTTTGTTTCCCACGGCTAGTGTGCATATTGTAGAGGGAAAGGACCATAATGGGGAAAGTTTAAAATGTGTCAGAAGGATTACAGAGTAGGAGGAGTTCTGCTTTTCATCAGCTGTTCATTGTTTTTTTCCCAGGAATGTCACCAGGTCTTCACGTGTCATCTGGCAGCATGATCTGATGCTATCATTCAGCTGTTCCACCAGCCACAAAGACAGTGCCAAGCTTCACCCTGCATCAGCTGAAGGATTCCTTCCATGGACCACAGCTCTGAAAGGTTTAGGCTTAGATCTCCCCCATGTGGCAATCAAACCAAAGTTAGTAATTTCAAAGCATATTCCAATTGATTTCCAGCCCCTTCTTCCCCCTATTTTCAGTTAAATTTTCCCCCCAGCCCTTTCTCCTCACTTTGTCTTTGCATGTGAATTTGGGTACCACTTGGCAGCAGTGGACATGACTAAGCCAAAGCAAAACCCAGGAGCCAAATGCATTGAGTTTCCCAAGCCAGGAGTTAGTTCCCTAGTTTTCCACTGTCCCTCCTTCCCACCTTATGCCTGAATTTCTCACCCCAGACAGCTGGTTGGCTTGTTCTACTGTATAACCAGAGAGCCAGCCAGATATTTTATTGCCTTGTGTCCTGCTATGAGGAATCTGTGGAGCTTCCAGTGGCTAAATGTGCTCTTTTTCTTGCTCTTGGAGCTGCTCAGCCAAAACCAATTCACTTTTGCTTTAATTTGTGGCTCTACCACATACCCCTTCTCCTGGCCATACCTCTCATTCCTCTATCAGGGACCTCCTGCCAGTGGCCTCTTTTGCCCAATAAAATTCCCCTCCATGGCAGTCTCACCCCCAGTGGCAACTCTCCAGCCTGGGAGAAAGGGTTTAGACAAGCTGGAGGAAATCTAAACAAAGGCCTGTGAATCATTTGTCTTTAATATCTACGCACAGCTGGTGTAAAAAGGCCTGGAACCTGACAGCCCTGTAACAATTCCATCTTTACCTTCCTTAGAAACAAGTTAAGGTTCAGGCTGAATTGTTTTCTGCAGCAGCTCTCTGCAGCAGCTCTCTGCAGCACTGAAGTAGAAGGGTTGCTAGTAAGGTTAATGCAGGAATATAGATACTGTAGTCATACGAGAAATCTCTGGGTTTTGTCAATACTCTGTCAAACTGACTCAAAGCCCCTTGAAATCAGTAAGTATTGTGCTCCTATTAGAATGGCAGTGAATCCAACAGTGTCATGGGAGGACGCAGACTTGGTACATCAAATACAACATTTGTTGTATTCTGTATTTTGTTGTATTTGTTGTATTCTGTGTTCCTCAGACTCCAGCTGAAATCTTTGTACTTTATTGAAGACAGGATTCCTTGTATTTTATTGAAGGTAGGATTTCCAGGCACACTCTACTGCTATGCCTACATGTAGGTTTAGGAGTTTTTTTAATCTTGACCTGCAAACCTCTTCTGCTGAAATTCACTATTAATAGACAGCAAAAGAAACACGCTGAAAACCAGCAGGAAGAGCTATTTCTAAGCAATGAAGTGAAGGAAGATCATTTTTCACTGCTAACCTCTACACTACTGCAGTACCAAACTGCAGGCTCTCGGCAAGTGTGTAATTCCTCTCTTTGGCTAAAAAGCTACTTGAGGATGATATTGTGCTTCATTTTTCTGACTTATCTCTCATGTGCACAGAAACATATTTCCTCCAAGAAAAAATATTTTACAAATATCCAGATTTGTACATCTCTTCAAATCCCACTTTCCTCCGTGCTAAACAGGGTAACTGTAAGCTGTTCAAAGGGTAACACACTCAGAAATTGTTTAGCTCAGATTAGCCAATGGGTGTCACTAGCGTAAGCAACCAAAAAAATCCCCTTCATGTTTCTAGATCACTAAATAATTTTACTATAGATTTTGTATCTACACATAAAGATACATATGTAGATAGCTTGCTTATCATGTAATTTATTGAAAGATCAGATGACTTTGTGATTGAATCTGTCCTAACACTCTTGAGTCCTGGGTTTGAGTTTCAGTCTATGAATTTCTTTTGTGAATCAAAATAACTTTAGATGACCTTCAGTTTCTTACACATTTAAAAGAGACAGTAACACTTAGTTCTTGAAAAAAAATGGATTTGCAGAATAAAAATGGAAAATAGGGATATCATCCTCTGAGGAGAAGGTAGAGATGTCCTTTGCAGAGAAAAACTAAGTGTCCTAGTTACCATAACATTTCACATTTCACCACTGACATGAAAGGCATCTTCCAAAAGTTACTGAGTTTTCAAACCAAATAGTTAAATCAGCTTTACAGATTTTACCATGGCTCTGATACCTGGGTGCCTATAAATGCCTTCCCAACCAAAAGTACTCAATATGGAATACATAAGGATATTTGCAAACATAAAAAAAATCAGTAAAACGTAAAAGCCAGGTCTTCTCTAGACATTATTTAGTACCCGTGGTGAAAATAGCTTAGGTGCCTGTCAACTTGAATATAAACATGCAAAGCAAAGCCTAGACAAATAGAACAAGATAACAAGTATAACAAGATTTGCTCAGTCTATCAAAACCAACATTGATTCTGCATAAGTGGATGTTCCTGGTATTTATCTAAGAGATGTTCCTTAGGGATAGAGTACTTGAATGCATTTGCCCAGCCAGGCCTGGCAGAAGAGCTAGTGGCACCTGATGGCTGAGCTGCAAAAGCAGGGGTCTTGCTCCTTGCCCCGACATGTGTTACTGCAGAACCCTGCCAGAAAACCACTGCTGAGGTTTCAGTAGTGCTGACCTTACTGAAATAAACTGTAGCTGACCTTACTGAAATAAAGAAAAAACATGGTTAAATCAGTCTGACCTTCTGTTATCCACGTACAAAATCTTATACATTAAAAAAAAACAGAACCTAAACATATCTGCAGTGTTGCGTTTTCTTTGTTTGTTTCATTGTTTGGTTTTGGTTGTTGGTTTTTTTTTTAAATAAAATACCTTACAACAGTGTTATATACAATTGTGGACAAAGTTTGCAAAACCCATTTGAAATTTAGCCTTTATATAGTATTTTTGTTCCAAGTGAATAAAAATTAGGCATTTTGGGAGAAAGTCAAGCATCGCAAGATTTCTAAAATTAAGAACAGCACATAGGCATCTGAAAAGTTTTTTGTTTTTTTAAACCCAGAATGAGCTATGAAACCTTTAAACATTTACTCCCCTCTGGTTCTTATCCCCTATTTCTTATCTCTTTGTGCAAAACTTGTCTTTTATATGTTCTTAAGCCATTATAGTTAAAACACTACTACTATTTTGACTCACAATTTCTGTGCTTAAAAGTAATCTAGTTGAAAAGATAGGTGCAAAATAAACTTCTTGATGGGGAGCAAACAGTGCATCTGATCTCATTGTCTTGAATAGTGATAAAAAAAAAAATTAGAGCAGATGAAAAAAATTAAGAAAAAAATGTTCAGAAGACAGTAAATCCACACCTGGTCTGGAGAAACTGAGC